TTTCCACACCCTTCTTCACCTCCTCACATTGGTAGGTCATGATCATAACTGCCTCGGGACTTTAGCACCTGCTATGGACTCTACCAAGTGACATTCAAAGTTCTGAGGGAAGGGTCTAGTTCTGAGATGTTTTTCCCGGGCCACCCAGATGAGAGCCCCGACCCATTCATTGCCTGTCACCTGCTTCATTTTCCACTTGACATCTGTTACTTCATGGAATCCTCTTGTGGATCTCATTGTGGCCTCTTCATCACCTCTCTACCCTGCCCCAGACCTCCAAGGTAAGCTCCTAACTCAGAGGCTGTGGACACCTTGCCCAGCACAGGGTCCAGCACACAGCAGGAGCTTAAATAGCTGATAAGATTCCTTACAGGTGGGCAGAGATTTGGGAGCACTACAGTATCTGAGTTTCCCCAAACTGGACTTTGAGGATGCTGGCTGAGCAGAAGGGGAGACCCATGGTGCTGAAGTCAGACCCAAATTCTGCTGCTGATATCTGTGCATCTCTGGGCAACTTCCCTAACATCTCTGAGCATTATCTACATCTGTAAGTTGGAAGTAGGAGCACCAGCTTTCTGAATCAAGGAAGCAATTCAGGCTACTCAGGCTCTGTCCCCGGCACTGAGAACCAACTGCCACAACACAGTAAATGCTTGTTAATGAATGAAGAGCACAACATAAATATCAGAGGGCCCATCATGCCATCAATGTCAGACACACAATTATTTCCTGAAGTGCTAAGAATAAAATCTTTCAATTTTGCTAATGAAACCATGACTGTATACCTTGTCCCATACCTCACCACCCACTTATGTCACTAGGAATTTGTATTTTGTTCTCACCCAAGGACTTCTTTCAGGTTCATCAGGACATAAATTTTTAACATAGATCACTACTGAATACAATTTTTTTAAAGGAAGGAGCTGGCACATAGGTCAGGGGTAAACAGCTTACCAAATATGAGCAATGCCCTGATTTCTATTGCTAGCACTGTGAAAATCAGTTAACTAGCTAATTAATAAAATAAGTCTTGCCTTGCAAGTTCAAGGCCCTGGGTTCAATCCACAATATCATAAACATAAATAAAATTATAATTAAAAAGAACTATCAGGGAAATCCGTTGGTGGAAGTATTCCTGAGAATTTCTTCCAGATCAGAATCACCTCTCTGAATTGACCTTGCTGGGACACACACTCTTGCTCTTCGCTACCTGGGCTTCTGCCCACCAGAAGCAGTGCTCATCTGTTCTCAGCTGATCCTCCCTGCTGAATTCTTGTGCCCCCTGGAAGGTAGTCCTCCCCACTCTCCCTTGGTTTCCAGCCTTTCCCCATGCAAGGTTGGTGTTAGAGAGGCCAGGGGCTACCACTGTCTCTTCCCACTCCCCAACACGTGGGAAGTCACATGGAACAGGTACATCATGTGGGATCCTTCACTCCCACCCACCAGGCCTGGGAACCCAGATTTCAGAAATGGACAGATGTGTGTTAGAGTCGGTGCAATAGCAATAGCATGTGAGAACTACGACAAACTGAACTTCTGAGGTTCTAGTCAGCCCTTCCAGAAGGCAGGGAGGGGGCTGGGGATTTAGCTCAGTGGCACAGCGCCTGCCTGGCAAGCGCAAGGTTGTGAGTTCGATTCCTGGTACCAGGAAAAAAACCAGAAGGCAGGGAGGGCCCAGGGGAGAAGGTCCTGTTCTACAGGGGACTGAACCCAGGGCTTGGCACTGCGCCACATCCTCAACTCTTTATTTTTTATTTTTGAGACAGAGTCTCCCTAAGTTGTTAAGTTTTCCACGCTGGGCTTGAACTTGTGATCCTTCTGCCTCAGCCTCCCAGAGTGAGTGTTGCTAGCCACTGTGCTGCCACATTCAGGTTGGGAGACTTTGCTTCAGCCTTCTCCACCAGGAACAGAGGCCTTAGTTTCTCAGGGAACTTGGGGCCTGGACTGGACTTGGGGCACAGGTTTCAGCAGAGGGCAGCTTGTGATTCTCTGCTTGGGTCCTGTTTCTTCTGGGGCAGGGGCTGGGGCTTGTGCAAGTCAGACCACAGGGTGAGGACAAATGGAGGGCATGCCTGGTTTCTGCTGGGACCCTGGAGTTCTGAGGAGACAGTAAGGCAACAGTGCCCCTTTCAAGGTGGGAAACTCACATTCCTCCCAGCCGCCCCTGCTCTGAGAGCTCAGTTCCCAGTGAGCACACTAAGAGAGCACCCTCAGGCTGCAGGAGATCAGACACTCAGAGCCCCGCAGGTAACAGAATCCAGGGTCCTCCTTTCTTTTCTTCCACTTTACAAGTTCCCACCGATTCTCTTGGGGAACCCAGAGCAGGGAAAGGCAGTCAGCCAGAGGAAACTTTATTTTTAAAAGTGGAGCACCAGGGGAAGGGGTGGGATGCCCTGCTTCTGCCTGCACAGGTGAGGGTCCTGGTAGAGGTAGGGTCTGCCTCGAGCCTGCAGCCAGTCAGAGGCCCTGAGACCCTAGGAGCCCGGGTCTGTATACGACAATGTGCCCTTGCTGAGCTAAGCAGAGTGCCACAAAGCTTAGCTCTCTCAATAACCCGGGGAACCTCACTGTTCCTTCAGCCAACCAGGAGGACAACTGGCTCAGGGCCAAGGGCATAAAAGTTGGGGTTTGCTGCCTGCTCATCATTGCAGACTTGGCAGTGCTGCTGTGCACTGCCACCAGCCCAATCCCCAGCCCTCCCACTGCCTTACCCTTCTCTTCTGCAGGGTTCCAGGTGCTCCCTCACTGCCCCAGGACCTCAGCTTGCTGGAGACATCTCCCCAGCCACCAGCTCCCTGGGCTTCAGGAAGCGCAGCAGAGGTCTGGACTGCCTGTGAGGTCTCTGCATTTTGCTTCCCAAGACCTTGCTGTGGGGAAGAGACTTGTGTGGCAAGGGCCCAGGAGGAATAGAGCAAGGGGACTTTCCCTTCCCCAAGCCTGCAATACGTGTACTGGGACTGGGGAGGCCAGGAGGGGGCCTTAGCGATGGTGACTAGTGACAAGAGGAGTTGCAAAAGGTGGGTGGGAGCCCCAGGCACTGCCCAGGAGCCTCGAGGACTGGACAGGACATTTACATTTTCTCCTTACGGGAGCAGCTGGGAGCTTCTGTTGGGTTTCAAGGATTCTCCCCAGCAAGAAAAGCCCAGCTGCCCAGACAGCAGGCTCAACCCCCTCTTCCCTCAGTCTGTAGCTGCAGTCCACCAAAAAACCTCAGCCACTAGGCAGTGACAAAACTCCACCCTGCCCACCCAGTTCACCCTGGAACACGGACCCACTCTTTTGAGGCCCATGTTTCTCAGTGACCCATGGCTGACCTGGGAACCACAGCCCCTGAGAAAGATTCCCCATCTGTGCCTAGATGGTGCTGTACTTTGAGAAATTTGGTGGCCCTTGCATTCTGCCGCTAGAGCCCCACTATTCCTCCCCTACCCCTGGGTCCCAGCTAGTGAGAGGAAGCCCAGGAAAACACCTTGGATGCACACCGCAGCTAATTTGACAAAAGTTGGAATTCCTCAAATGTAAAATAGAAGCACTCTGGTGTAACTGTGGCTGGCGGGTCTGTTTCATACCCTCATTTCACAATTCTCCAGGTGACAAAGACCAGGCTGGAAGCCTCCTGGTGAAAAAATGTGGTCTTTCACTTTGCTGTCCTTTGAACTATAGTGGATTACCTGCCCCATCCAGGCCACCTGGCTGCTGGGACCTGTACGAGAAAGTCACCAGCCTTGCTAGGTTGAGCTGACGGTGTATGTGTGTGTGTGTGTGTGTGTGTGTGTGTGTGTGTGTAAAGCTGGGGTTGGGAGGAAGTGGAGGCACAGCAACACACTGAAGATTTCTCCTTCCAGCAACCAAGTCAGCCGTCTCCCTTGGGCCCCTGAGGGAGCCTGGGTGAGGAGTCTGGGAGTTGTATGCAAGCCTGAATTACAAGCCCTGAGCCAGCAAGAGATGGTTTTCCAGAGACTTGGAGGAGCAGAGAGGCGGAGAACGGCTGGCTAGCGCTAACGGCCCTCAGGAAGTGTGCTCTCCTCATCTCTCATTCCTCCAGGCCTTGAGGGTGGAGATGCTGGGGAGGGGAAAGTCCAACCACAGTTTCTAGAAAAGGACCCACCACCTAGTCACAATGTGTAAAGGAAGCGCTCATCAGCATAGGTGGGGGCCGTGGAGATCACTGCTAGAGTTACAGGAAGCCTGGGCTGAGTAAGTGTGCACGTTTGTTAGGACTGTCCCTCATTCTGGGGACTGGAACAACCTGGTTTTGAACCCTGATTCTGCTTGGAAGTTTGCATGACCTAGCCATGTCTCCTTTCTGAGCTTTAGACAGTAAAGTAGCCATTGCTCCACTCCCAACCCTTGTCACCCCCCTCCTTCCACTGTAGAAAGCCTAAGAACAGAAGCTACCTGCAAGCTCTGAGACACTCTAGACCAGGAAAAAGACAATGGAGACCTCCCTGCCAAAGAACCTGTTCCCAAGCTGCACCCCTCAAATGGATCAACTCACCCTGGGAAGCTCAGGCATTTTGTTGCCCTTTCTCTGTGCTGGTCAGATGCCCTCACTACTAGAAGTCCTGTCTCCACCAGGGCCGCTGCGGCACCCCATGCCTAGACCACAAATAACCTGCAAACTCTGGGAAGCATTGGGGGAGAACGTGCGGGCAAGGCCTGCCTTGGAGGCTCGCCTCTGTGAATCTCAAGCCCTGAGCTTCTCATGCATCCCAAAAAGGGTTGATTAAGACCAGCTCAAGGACTTCACAGTCAGAGTTCCAGGAGACTGAACCAACAACCCAAGCTGCTCCAGTCCTAGGCCCCTTCGCTGGCTTCGGAGTCTGGGGATGAGAAGGAAGGGGTTCATAGCGATCCCTCACACCATATAGCTATTCCCGGGCTTAGACTCCTTCCTCCACAGCACCAAAGGAAAGGCTGTTTTAGAAGCCACCCTTCTTACCTACCCAACAGGCCCTCCACCTCACGCTCCCCCATTCAAGCCCCTAACCAAGCTCAACTGTGTCATAAAATATTTTATTGGAAAAAAGTCACCATCTTCGCAAGAGGGGGGTAGGTGCCCCAGCGACATCGGACCGGTCTAGGGCCGCGCAGCCCGGTTATCCTGCTGGTGGCCTGCGCCGGCTGCTGGGTCTCTGGCCAGGGCTCGAGGAAGCGGATGTGTGCCTGGATACGTGGACCCGGAGGCCACCCGAGGCAGGGAGTGTGGGCGAGGAGCTGGGCGAACATGCACGTGTGGTGCCGCGCCGCGGAGCTCCGGGAAAGAGCTTCTGCCCTGCGGCTTGCGACGCTCCCAGGTTAGGACCAGGTGCGCCTGGGTTAGGGTCAGGGTCTGTGTCCTTCCCTGTTGGGCCCCCAATTGTCCGCATTCAGAGTAATAATAAAATATTTAAAAGGCAAACGGCGTGGACGACGCAGAAGGGTCGGCTCGCGGGCTCCCGCGGGCTGAGGGGCCACGTCGTGGGGTCCCTGGCTTCGCACCCTCTGCCCAGCTCAGTCCTCGCGGCTCCGGTCACTGGGCTCGCCTGGCGCCTCCGCCGGCTTCTCCGCCTCCTTGGTGCGCTCCTGCTCTGTGAGCTGCTCGCTGGAGGGGATGGAGTTCTTCTTGGGCCGCCCCTTGGGCTTAGTAGGCGACTCCAGGCCACCGCCTTGCAGCACCTGCATGGAGGGCGACCAGTACTGTGGTGAACCAGGAGGCCCCAGGGACACCCGTGCCCAGCGCCCAGCCGGGTCCCGGAAAGCAGCTCCCGGCCCTTGGGAAATGGTAGGCATTTGCCTGAGCGCTGCAAAAGAAAGGAGGCCCCGAAATCCAGCCAGGAGTTCAGGCTGCCCGGAAACCCGGAGAGTGCAGCGGGAACAGGAAGAAGTGCCGGCTCAGCTCAGGCACCCAAAGGGAAAGAAAGACCAAGAGGGGCCTCCTGAGCCCCAGGTGCCAAGGGAACCGCGAGGGGTGGATGGACATCTCCGCAGAGGAGGAGCGCGGAGATTTCTTGGAGTGCGTGGGCAATGGCCCAGGAAACAGCCGGGAAACGGAGGGCACAGGGAGCCACCCGACACTCACTATTTTCTTCCACTTCATCCTTCGATTCTGATACCAAGTCTTCACCTGCAACTGGCTCAGGCCAAGAGACTCAGCAAGATCTATTCTGGAAAGAGCAGAACGCACCCTGAGCGGGCCAGCGGCCACGGATTCCCCTTCCATCGCCTCGCAGCCCCGCGTCGCCCGCTCTACCTGTCCGGCGTGGAGAGATACTTCTGCTTCTCGAAGCGTTTCTCCAGGCCCATCAGCTGCAGCTCGGTGAATACGGTGCGGCTCCGGCGTCCCTTCTTGGCCTTCGTGCCCGGCTCCCCGGGGCCCGCTGCCTCCAACTTACCGCGTAGCTGCAGCTCCAAAGGCAGGTGCGCGGCACCCGCGGCTCCGGGAAGCCCAGGACCGGTGGCCAACAGCGCCGAGCCCAGCCCGGAACAGCCGAGTGGCGCCAGCGGGAACTTGAATACTGCTGCCTGCTCAGCCTTCAGCACCGCTGCAGAGAGAAGGGGCAGGGAATCTGGTGAGCTGGAGTCTGCGACCCTCAGTCTCCGAAGTTCCCTGCACCACACGCCGCAGGGCCGCGGGAGCCTGAGGTCAGCCAGTGCTACCCAGCGCAAAACCTCCGCGTCTGGTTGCGCGGCTGAGTATTCGAGCCGCGCGTGCAAGGCGATCCCCTCTACGCTGTTTCCTGGGAGTCTAGAAGGAAGGACCTCTCCAACCCTGTGCGCTGCCATGGCCTTTCCCAGGCCTCTGTCGCCTCTAAGACTTTGAGCTTCTGCAGGAACAAGTTCGTAGCTCCAAAAATCGAGCAGTGTATTCCGTGGAAAAAAAAGAAACCAAGAAGAAGGGGCTGCGACTTAGGAACGTGGGCAACTGCCCCAACCAAGTTTGCATTGCTGAGCTTGGAAAAGAGCAGGAGGCAGCGGCGTGCATACACATTTGCTCCTCCGGGTACCACACTGCAGCCTTTAGTCGGGCTGTAGCGGGGGTGTCCCATAGGGTTGGGTCTTTCCGGAAATTCCAAAGCACCCTGCAAAAACGAAAATTGTCGCTTTTGTTTTCTCCGATCAGTCTCTTCCTAGTGAGGACGTTTCCGTGTTTTTTAGTCCTAAACCGATCGTTTGCCCGCTTCAAACGAATTACTAACAACAGAGCAGACCTAAGTGCCTGGCAGCCCTGACACTGTGTTCTAGACGAACTCAGAGCAAGCAGGCCCTGCCGCCAAGGGCCAGGTCCAGGGAAGGTGACTTGTGGGACTGAGAGCAGCCAGCTCGCCACAGGAAGTCTCTTTCCCCCTTGGACTTCCCAATCTGGGGCCCGTCCTACTGCCGCTGTAGTCCTCAAGGGACCGGCCAAGGAGCAGGTAAACACAGGGAGGAGGGGGCACAAGGAATCCTTAGGGCAAAGGTAGGAGAGGACCCCACTAAAAGAAAGCAGGAGGCCCACCCGCGGTGGGGAGTAGATGAGGAGGACAAGAAGGGCAGGGAACAGAGCCGAGAGGGCACACACCGCAGGACAGCGCACACCCGACAAAGAAGAAAGATCGGGCAGTGGCCGGCCGGGTCTGAGCAAACCGCAAAGCTCCAGCTGGGCCCAGCCAACCTGTAAGTGGAAGGGCCAGCAGCAGCGCACAGCAGGCCTCTTGCCCACAAGCAAGAGGGACGGGCAGGTCTGCCCTGCAGCCCAGAAGAGGACTGGTCTGCTGCCCACTGGAGAGCAGTAGGCTTAGAGCAGCTCTGGGAAGGCTTGGGCCAGCGTCCACACTCAACATGCAGACACTTGGGCCTCTTCTCCTCCGGAGGTCCCAGCTTCCTCGGCTTGGGGAATGAAGGCCACTCCTGGTCAGCCTTGTACAAGAAGCTCAAGTGCCCGCCATCTGATGTCGTAGATCCCTAGTAAGAGGCCACCGGTCTTGCGCCTGTGATAGGGATGGAGACTCCGGTTCCAGGCTCGGACCCCCCCAACCGGTGCAGGGGCCGAAGAGCAGCCGGGAAGCAGAGAGCAAACGCCCTCCCTGGCCTGGCCTGCCGGCACGAGGCCTGGTTTCTGCGCAGCCCATTGCCTGCGCCCTTCGCTTCCCCGCCGGAGCAACTGAGAGACGACCCGGGCCTGCGCGCTCTGGGGCTGTCAAGGCGCGGCTTCGGGTCCAGTGGAGAAAGAGGGTGGGCTCCCGGCGCCCCTGCGGCGCGGCTTGCTCCCTCCCGCCCAGCTCGTCCCGCAGCCCAGCCGCGGCCGCACGTACCCAGGTGGCTGTGGAAGGGCCGCGCCGCCAGCAGCGCCTGCACGCCGAACTTGAGCAGTTCGCCCGCGGCGGCGGCGGCGGCAGGCGCGGCGCCCTTGGGCCCGGGCGGCTCCGTGAGGATCTCCTCGATCATGAAGCTGCGGTAGCGGTGCGGCCGGTGGTCGCCACAGCCCTCAGGCGGGCCGAAGCGCACGGCGCCCGGCT